TTTCTCAGTTTCCTACACGGCATTACTAGCTGTTTGGGGTTTTAGGCTGGGTTTCTGTACAGCACTTCGAGATATTAGCTGATGTAAGAAGGGCTATATAAAATAAAATTGATTGATTGATTGATTGTCCCACATCATGCTGTCACAATGTGATGTGATTATAATAGACTGTTCATCTGGGCAAGGGGGTGGGCTCTAGACCATCCTATCAGCCAAACAAGGCTTGTATGTATATATCTTCAAATTTGTTTCCTAACGCCCACATGATCAGACTGAGCATTTCAAGGGCCAAAGAAGGCTCAGGGAAATAAATTATTAACAATATAGACTGAGTGTACAAAACATTAGGAACACCTTCCTAATATTCAGTTTCACCCCCGATTGCCCTCAGAACAGCCTCAATTCACCGGGGCATGGACTCTACAAGGTGTTGAAAACGTTCCATGTTGACTCCAATGCTTCCCACAGTTGTGTCAAGTTGGCTGGATGTCCTTTGGATGGTGGACCATTCTTGATACACACGGGAAACTGTTAAGTGTGAAAACTCCAGCAGCGTTGCAGTTCTTGACACACTCAAACTGGTGCGCCTGGCACCTACTACCATACCCTGTTCAAAGGCACTTAAATCTTTTGTCTTGCACATTCACCCTCTGAATGGCACACATACACAATCCATGTCTCATTCCTTAACCTGTCTCCTCCCCTTTACAGTGAGGGAAAAAAGTACTTGATCCCCTGCTGATTTTGTACGTTTGACCACTGACAAAGACATGATCAGTCTATAATTGTAATGGTAGGTTTATTTGAACAGTGAGAGACAGAATAACAACAAAAAAATCCAGAAAAACGCATGTCAAAAATGTTATAAATTCATTTTTTGCATTTTAATGAGGGAAATAAGTATTTGACCCCTCTACAAAACATGACTTAGTACTTGGTGGCAAAACCCTTGTTGGCAATCACAGAGGTCAGACGTTTCTTGTAGTTGGCCACCAGGTTTGCACACATCTCAGGAGGGATTTTGTTCCACTCCTCTTTGCAGATCTTCTCCAAGTCATTAAGGTTTCGAGGCTGACGTTTGGCAACTCGAACCTTCAGCTCCCTCCACAGATTTTCTATGGGATTAAGGTCTGGAGACTGGCTAGGCCACTCCAGGACCTTAATGTGCTTCTTTTTGAGCCACTCCTTTGTTGCCTTGGCCGTGTGTTTTGGGTCATTGTCATGCTGGAATACCCATCCACGACCCATTTTCAATGCCCTGGTTGAGGGAAGGAGGTTCTCACCCAAGATTTGATGGTACATGGCGCCGTCCATCATCCCTTTGATGCAGTGAAGTTGTCCTGTCCCCTTAGCAGAAAAACACCCCCAAAGCATAATGTTTCCACCTCCATGTTTGACGGTGGGGATGGTGTTCTTGGGGTCATAGGCAGCATTCCTCCTCCTCCAAACACGGCGAGTTGAGTTGATGCCAAAGAGCTCAATTTTGGTCTCATCTGACCACAACACTTTCACCCAGTTCTCCTCTGAATCATTCAGGTGTTCATTGGCAAACTTCAGACGGCCCTGTATATGTGCTTTCTTGAACAGGGGGACCTTGCGGGCGCTGCAGGATTTCAGTCCTTCACAGCGTACTGTGTTACCAATTGTTTTCTTGGTGACTATGGTCCCAGCTGCCTTGAGATCATTGACAAGATCCTCCCGTGTAGTTCTGGGCTGATTCCTCACCGTTCTCATGATCATTGCAACTCCACGAGGTGAGATCTTGCATGGAGCCTCAGGCTGAGGAGATTGACAGTTCTTTTGTGTTTCTTCCATTTGCGAATAATCGCACCAACTGTTGTCACCTTCTCACCAAGCTGCTTGGCGATGGTCTTGTAGCCCATTCCAGCCTTGTGTAGGTCTACAATCTTGTCCCTGACATCCTTGGAGAGCTCTTTGGTCTTGGCCATGGTGGAGAGTTTGGAATCTGATTGATTGATTGCTTCTGTGGACAGGTGTCTTTTATACAGGTAACAAGCTGAGATTAGGAGGAATCTCAGCTCGTTACCTGTATAAAAGACACCTGGGAGCCAGAAATCTTTCTGATTGAGAGGGGGTCAAATACTTATTTCCCTCATTAAAATGCAAATCAATTTATAACATTTTTGACATGCATTGTTCTGGATTGTTTTGTTGTTATTCTGTCTCTCACTGTTCAAATAAACCTACCATTAAAATTATAGACTGATCATTTCTTTGTCAGTGGGCAAACGTACAAAATCAGCAGGGGATCAATTACTTTTTTCCCTCACTGTATCTACACTGATTGAAGTGGATTTAACAGGTGACATCAATAAGGGATCATAGCTTCACCTGGATTCACCTGGTCAGGCTATGTCATGGAAAGAGCAGGTGTTCCTAATGTTTTGTACACTCAGTGTATTTTGGAGTTATTTTCATTAAACGAACACACACAGTAATTTATTAGACAAACAGTGATGACTTAAAAATAAAATTACAAAGACTGCATGGGGGCTTTAAGACCAATATTAAAACACAATATAAAGGCCTGGTTAGATTTAGTCTAAATATGATCCTGCTGGAGGTGGCTTGCCTTATCTCAGAACAATAATACATTGTTATTGTTACTGCCTGCTATCTCTGCAGGGTTCTTTCTATTACAGCCTCATTCTCTCTCTACTAGCTTTGATGCCAATGACTTTATCTGAAGAATACAGTACCACTCCGACGTCACACATTCTCCACTTTTAACAATGTGTCTGCGAGAATTAGCACCTCAAATAGAGAAAGTGAGAAAAAAGCGAGACCAGAGCTGTGATGTTGATCATTATCAGAACAAGGGAATTCGTCAGCTCCAATAATGAGCTGGAGAAAATCCTGTTTAAGCGTGGAGGTGTGTGGTGGGGGGGGGTGGGGTGGGGTGGGGGTGCAAATCCTGTAGGGTGGCGCCAATGTTTTCTTCATGGATAATAGGCTCAGAGAGAGAGAGAGAGGCGGCTGCTCTGGACCAGCGCACATGGCTCTCTGAGAGGAGCGGAACACTTTGGCACAGCCAGGGATGACACGCTCCTCTTTGATGGAGGAATAGTACGGCTCAGGATCATTTTCAAATACAGTTGAAGTCGGAAGTTTACATACACTTAGGTTGAAGTCATTAAAACTCATTTTCAACCACTCCACAAATTTCTTGTTAACAAACTATAGTTTTGGCAAGTCGGTTAGGACATCTACTTTGTGCATGACGACACAAGTAATTTTTCCAACAATTGTTTACAGACAGATTATTTCACTTATAATTCACTGTATCACAATTCCAGTCTTTCAGAAGTTTACATACACTAAGTTGACAGTGCCTTTAAACAGCTTGGAAAATTCCAGAAAATGATGTCATGGCTTTAGAAGCTTCTGATAGGCTAATTGACATCATTTGAGTCAATTGGAGGTGTGCCTGTGGATGTATTTCAAGGCCTACCTTCAAACTCAGTGCCTCTTTGCTTGACATCATGGGAAAATCAAAAGAAATCAGCCAAGACCTCAGAAAAAAAATTGTAGACCTCCACAAGTCTGGTTCATTCTTGGGAGCAATTTCCAAATGCCTGAAGGTACCACGTTCATCTGTACAAACAATAGTACGCAAGTATAAACACCATGGGACCACGCAGCCGTCATATTGCTCAGGAAGGAGACACATTCTGTCTCCTAGAGATGAACGTACTTTGGTGCGAAAAGTGCAAATCAATCCCAGAACAACAGAAAAGGACCTTGTGAAGATGCTGGAGGAAAAAGGTACAAAAGTATCCTCCGAGTCCTATATCGACATAACCTGAAAGGCCGCTCAGCAAGGAAGAAGCCACTGCTCCAAAACCGCCATAAAAAAGCCAGATTACGGTTTGCAACTGCACATGGGGACAAAGATCGTACTTTTTGGAGAAATGTCCTCTGGTCTGATGAAACAAAAATAGAGCTGTTGGCAATAATGACCATTGTTATGTTTGGAGGAAAAAGTGGAAAGCTTGCAAGCCGAAGAACCCCATTCCAACCGTGAAGCACGGGGGTGGCAGCATCATGCTGTGGGCGTGCTTTGCTGCAGGAGGGACTGGTGCACTTCACAAAATAGATGGCATCATGAGGAAGGAAAATGATGTGGATATATTGAAGCAACCTCTCAAGACATCAGTCAGGAAGTTAAAGCTTGGTCGCAAATGGGTCTTCCAAATGGACAATGACCCCAAGCATACTTCCAAAGTTGTGGCAAAATGGCTTAAGGACAACAAAGTCAAGGTATTGGAGTGGCCATCACAAAGCCCTGACTTCAATCCTATAGAACATTTGTGGGCAGAACTGAAAAAGCGTGTGCGAGCAAGGAGGCCTACAAACCTGACTCAGTTACACCAGCTCTGACAGGAGGAATGGGCCAAGATTCACCCAAGTTATTGTGGGAAGCTTATGGAAGGCTAGCCGAAACATTTGACCCAAGTTAAACAATTTAAAGGAAATGCTACCAAATACTAATTGAGTGTATGTAAACTTCTGACTCACTGGGAATGTGATGAAATAAATAAAAGCTGAAATAAATCATTCTCTCTACTATTATTCTGACATTTCACATTCTTAAAATAAAGTGGTGATCCTAACTGACCTAAGACAGGGAATTTTTACTAGGATTAAATGTCAGGAATTGTGAAAAACTGAGTTTAAATGTATTTGGCTAAGGTGTATATAAACTTCCGACTTCAGTTGTAAAAGGGAATGTTTAACATGAGAAGAAGAGGCAGGAAAACAAAGGGCTCTATTCAATCTGTGTCGCTGAAGCATTACAGATTGCGCAATATAAATGTTAAGGTAATTTCCGATTGAGCCGACATATGCAGCGTTTCCCGTGAATGCAGTCTCCGCTAATGCAGGAACATTGCTTTTACATTTCAATCACGTTGTAACGCTGAACATCCGCAATACGGATTGAATAGAGCCCAATGTCTGGGGTTTTCATGTGTGTGTGCAACTTGAAGAAAAGCTCTTCAAAGCTATGTCTGTGTTTTTGTGTTTGTTTGTGTGTGTGCATATGCTTGTGCGTGCGTCATGCGTTTTATGTATTGCTAACCAGTAGCGTATGCTCCATGTCCACTGGGGAGTATGGAGGGGGGCCGTCCATGCCCCATGGAGCCTCCTGCAGGATGTCAGGCGTGGGCAAACAGATCTGACGAGACACTATGAAGTGGACCCGCTCCTCACTCGCCTACAGGAGACAAAAAGACAAACACAACCAAGCTCAGAACCAGACAGACACACACAGCAATTAAAAAAGAATGACAAACTCAAAACAGTCACTTTTTAGAAGAATATTATGGTTGAACCCCATAAATAAACACTGAACACAGCTTCACTGAAGTTGATCCAGATATCCAAACAAGCACTTAATAAAAACAACTTTCACTGCCACATAACTAGAGTCAGACACAGAAACTATAACAGCTCCAACAGGCCCATCTTGCTCATCCCAGATGCTGTGTTGAGGGTATGTATGTATGAGTATGAGGGGCAGTTCCATGATAACGGAATTAGACTTTGACTCCGTTTTTTTCACTTTAAAATGTATGACAAACAAAAACCATTGATTTCAAAGTTTAACAAACCATATAACTCTATGCTCAAGGACTACTTTCAACAATTTAGACTGTAACATTTACATAAATTAATTTTGTGGAAGAACTGTGCAGAAGCAAACTTTGGTAACGGAATTATGGTAAATTCTCTCTCAGGTTTTTATGCGACCATGTCTGCAGAAAGAATGTGGTGTAAGCTATGACATGGCACACTGAGTTTGAAAAAATGTATTTTGGTTGTTTTACGACAGTAAGTGAAGTGGATTTACACCCGGTAATGGAATTTCAGTAAAGGAATGACATCCCTGATCTATACAACACATAAATGCATCATTATGGATATGAATGTCATTCTCCTCATGTTTCACAAGTTTGGACATCACAGCAAAGCAAAGTAGAGTACAGTGCAGTACAATACAGCACAGCAGGGCAGAGTAGGGTAGAGTTCAGTACAGTGCAGTGCAGTAGAGTACAGTATAGTCCAGTACAGTACAGTACAGTTCAGTATATACTGTACTCTACTGTACTGTATTATACTATAATACACTTTTCTTTACTGTACTGTACTGTATTGTACTGTACTGTACTACAGTATTGTATTGGACTGTACTCTACTGTGCTCTACTCACTTTACAGTACTGTACCCTCTGTACTCAGTACTCTATTGTACTGTATTGTACTGTATTGTACTGTACTCTACTATGCTCTACTCACTGTACTGTACTCTACTGTACTGTACTGTGTTATCCAGACTTGTGAAACATACGTCTATGATAGGTTCAGATTTGGTCCAGTCCATCTGTTTTTTAATTTTTTTAATTTCACCTTTATTTAACCAGGTAAGCCAGTTGAGAAGTTCTCATTTACAACTGCGACCTGGCCAAGATAAAGCAAAGCAGTGCGATAAAAACAACAACACAGAGTTACATATGGGGTAAACAAAACATAAAGTCAAAAATACAACAGAAAAGATATATACAATGTGTGCGAATGTAGTACGTTATGGAGGTAAGGCAATAAATAGGCCATAGTGCAAAATAGTTTCAATTTCGTATTAACACTGGAATGATAAATGTGCAAAAGATGATGTGCAAATAGAGATACTGGGGTGCACATGAGCAAAATAAATAACAATATGGGGATGAGGTAGTTGGGTGGGCTAATTTCAGAATGGCTGTGTACAGGTGCAGTGATCGGTAAGCTGCTCTGACAACTGATGCTTAAAGTTAGTGAGGGAGATAAGAGTCTCCAGCTTCAGAGATTTTTGCAGTTTGTTCCAGTCATTGGCAGCAGAGAACTGGAAGGAATGGCGGCCAAAGGAGGTGTTGGCTTTGGGGATGACCAGTGAGATATACCAGCTGGGGCGCAGACTACGGGTGGGTGTTGCTATGGTGACCAGTGAGCTAAGATAAGACAGGGATTTGCCTAGCAGTGATTTATAGATGACCTGGAGCCAGTGGGTTTGGCGACAAATATGTAGTGAGGACCAGCCAACAAGAGCATACAGGTCACAATGGTGGGTAGTATATGGGGCTTTGGTGACAAAACGGATGGCACTGTGATAGACTACATCCAATTTGCTGAGTAGAGTGTTGGAGGCTATTTTGTAAATGACATCGCCGAAGTCAAGGATCGGTAGGATAGTCAGTTTTACGAGGGCATGTTTGGCAGCATGAGTGAAGGAGGCTTTGTTGCGAAATAGGAAGCCGATTCTAGATCTAACTTTTGATTGGAGATGCTTAATGTGAGTCTGGAAGGAGAGTTTACAGTCTAACCAGACACCTAGGTATTTGTAGTTGTCCATATACTCTAGGTCAGACCCGCCGAGAGTAGTGATTCTAGTCGGGCGGGCGGGTGCAAGCAGCGTTCGATTGAAGAGCATGCATTTAGTTTTACTAGTGTTTAAGAGCAGTTGGAGGCTACGGAAGGAGTGTTGTATGGCGTTGAAGCTCATTTGGAGGTTTGTTAACACAGTGTCCAATGAAGGGCCAGATGTATACAAAATGGCGTCGTCCGCATAGAGGTGGATCCGAGCGTCACCATTGTGACATTAACATCAAGGCCAGAGTAGACTGACCAAATCTCAACTACTTTTAAACGTCCATGGACGTCTGGTGTTGGTCGTTGCTCAGTGGGTGAGGATGCTGGTTACAGTAAATGGAAAGAGAGGGGGCTCATGGGTAGGTGTCAGTATGAGCTACGAGAGTTGACATTAATTGGAGAGTGAGAGAGAAGGGCAGAGAGGGAGAGAGGGAGGGGTTGTCCAGACTCAGACTGTTTTAACACTCTTGGTTTGACCACCAGACGAAAGAAAGACAAAGAAAACAGTTATCAGCTGAACATAACAGTATGCCAGTGGAAGGGAGGACAGAAGCAGGTGACCCAACTGTGGTTTGTGACTATTATGATTTCCCATTGTAGCCAATTCAGATGCAGAAATTCAGATTTTTCGGTACTTTCGCTACCAATTTGGTAACGGAATTACGAGTTTTAATCACGTAATAATTCATAAACACATTTTATATCAGTAAAATCACTATAACTAATTGTAGGTCCACCATTCATACCATTCACCCCCTGATTAATCGAAAAAAATATATATCTAAAAATGGAACTAAACTTACAGAAGGTAAACAATTTCTTCAAAACTAAATATAAGTCTTGATATTAGTTATCAGGGGTCTTTATGTCAACATGATTGTACTTTGATGTATTTCTTTTAAAACTTTTTCTGGTAGATGTTTTCTAAGACACCGTTTCCATCTGTCTTTTCAGAAATCAAAGCCTTTACTTTTAAGTTGGATTATTTATTTTTTTACCTTCATTTCTCTCTTATTTTTCATTTGACACCCAATTTGATATGCTCTTTTGAACTTCACATGTTGGTGCTCATGGGTCCTTTTACATGGAAATGCCCTGAGGTAAACCTGTGGACATTCTCTACCTCATCCTACCACCCCCTGAAGAGAGCTCAAGAGAAAATATCACCCACACAGAGCTTGGCCAGGCAGTAAAATATATATTACCCCTGAGAAATTAACACCAATAATAAGCAGATGTGGTGTACAAAACTCTCACTCACACACACACATTTCAATTGCACCCTTTTACTTGCTTCAGGAAGCAGCCTGTTTAGTGTGACTCTCACCCCCATTTTCTCTTGTCTTCTCTCTCATCATACTGCAGTCTTTCTGCAGCCCTCACCCTCTCACTCTGACTTTTCCAACTTGAACTCAAAAACTCACCTTTAAACTTTTTTTCTAACAATCTGTATTTCTCCCCTCTCTACAACCTTTCCTCTAACTTTCTTTTTCACACTCTGTCTCTTTATTACTCTCTTTTGTCTCTTTCTCAGGCTGCATGTCCACCCACTCACACAGCGACTCACTCACTCCCTCATTCACTTGCATGAACATGCACACTCTCGCACACACACACTCAGGCGCATGCACACACATTCATGAGTGCACATTCATGAGTACACACGCACACACACACGCACACACACACGCACGCACGCACGCACGCACGCACACACACACACACACACACACACACACACACACACACACACACACACACACACACACACACACACACACACACACACACACACACACACACACACACACACACACACACACACACACACACACACACACACACACACACACACACACACACACACACACACACACACACACACACACACACACACACACACACACACACACACAGCTCGCCCTCCTGTGTTGCTCATTTGAGAGTGCCTGTGCTCTCTGTGCCGCAGAGCTGGCTCCTAAATTACCCAGTCCAGCTCGTTATCGCCTTAATTTGACTAATTTAATCGGTTTCCCGCCAGTTCTTAATCTCTGTCAGAATCAGTCTGCTGTGTGCCATGTTGGGTCCTCAGAGACCCCCAAGAGCAAACCAGTCTCCTCAGACAACAACCAAGAGAACACAGCTACAGCTACATCCCACAATCAACCAGAAACACACCACCGCAAATACCCAGCATCCACCAGGAAGCAGAGCGTCAGCCAAGCAGCAGAGCAGCGCCCAGTCAACCACAGACACACAACAATTAACCACAATTAACTGCAATGGACGGGGACAAAGCCAGCCAACAGAGTGCAATTAACCAGAACCACTATTAGCCATAATATACCAGGACCCAGATCCAAGAAACACACCAAACACACCATTACCAACCAATGCTCCCTAACCTCTAACCCCTGTAGACTGACCTGGATGAGTAAAGCAGCGTGTTCTGGCGCTCCGTAGCGCAGGTCGTGTCCGTTGATGGCGAGGACGCGGTCGTTGATGCTGAGCTGTCCATCGTGTGCCGCCAGGCCGCCCTCCAGCAGGTGGAAGATGAAGACTCCATGTTCCTCTGGTCGTCTTACCAGCTTGATGCCCAGCTGCTCCTCTGGGGTGCTCTTAGCCAGGACCACATGGATGCTGTCGTCCCTCAGGGGCTGGCCATGGGGGAGGCCGTGAGGCGGGTAGCCCCCGGCTGCGTCGTGGGGGTGCCCGTGGTGCCCGGAGTGTGAGCGGTAATGGTGGCGCTGCTCTCTCAGCACTGTGAGTCGCAGCAGCTGGCAAGGCTGTTTGAGGGTGGCCAGGGCGTAGCAGTGGGGCACATTGCTGATGTCTATGCCATTCACCTGAAGGGAGAGATGTAGAGGTGGAGTTAAATCTCAGATTATATGCTGTGATAAATACATTCAAACACACAACCCATACAGGGAAAGGGGATACCTAGTCAGTTGCAGAACTGAATGCATTCAACCCCTCTGAATCAGGCGCCCGGCTCGTGGATTAGAACCAGCGACCTTTCAGTTACTGGCCCAACGTTCTTAACCGCTAGGCTACCTGCCGCCCATCAGTCACATACATGGCGAGTAGTACTCCACCTTACTCTGAAGAAAAACACACACTGACCTTGAGGATCATGTCTCCGGGCAGCAGGCGTCCGTCCCGGGCGATAACCCCCTCCCTGTAGATGTCCTGGATGAGGATACGCATCAGGGGGGTCTCATTGCCCCCAACGATGCTGATCGCCAGGGGCTCCGAGGGCTCCCGGTTGATCTTAATACTGGTGACCTCACCATTAGGGATCAGGTGATGGAGCTGGGGTAGAGCCAGCACTGAGAGAGTGAAGGAGGGAAATATATATAAATATATATATATATATATATATATATATATATATATATATATACATAGATAGAGAAAGAGAGCGAAAGAGAGCGAAAGAGAGAGAGGGAGAGAGAGAGAGAGAGAGAGAGAAAGATAATGAGAATGAGGGAGGGAGGGAGGGAGGGAGTGGGGATAGAGGGGGAGAGAGAGAGAGAGAGAGAGAGAGAGAAAGAGAGAGTGAGATAATGAAGGAGGGAGAGAAATAGTGTGTTACTCTGATTTCTATGATGAAAAGGAACTCGCACAGAGGCAGAATGCAAGGCCAAGGAGAAAGCAAAAGAAACAGAGAGAGAGAGCTAGAAATAGACAGAGGGAGGAAGCCAGAGAGACCGCGTAGAAAGGTTTAGTGTTGAAGCAGCTGTCTCTACTCCCCCAAGTTAGCAAAACAAGCTTGTACAACCCTAAGGGGAAAATCCACTTGGCTGATCATCCTTCCACATGTTTGTATCATTAGTCACATATATCTGTACCAAGTATGCTTGAGAAAACCCTCACATTGACTTTTCCACAAGGTTATTGCTTGGGTGGAGATAAAAACACACATACTTTTACACAGATACACACTGACTGTACTGACAGAGAACTGAGATATAAAGCTCTCACAAATACACAACCACAGCCTCATACTGTACACACACACATATACATATGCACACAAACAAAAAAACAGTGTCAGTGGGAAGCTTTCAGGTGTTTATGTAAGAGTGAAAGTCAATCCCTTTGTCAACAAAGGGATGGTCTAACTTCAGCCTCTCACATACAGAGTTGTTCCTGCCTGTTTCCCAGGCCTGAGCAGAGCAGACACACCCTGCCTGGACTGTACCATTAGATAGGGAAGGGAGGGACTGGTGTGTGTCAGTCATAGACTGTAAAAAGAAAATGGACGGAGCCATCAATGATGTCACCCCATTGTTCCCTATGTGAAGTCTGTGGTGCATTTGAAGATCAGAAAGTGTTGTTCCTTAATGGGGGAGTTTTTGGAAACATCGCATGCACAGTTTGAGCTACTCTAGGAAGTGACGTTGCAGGCTAGCTCAGGGCTGCCCCCTCTCATTGAGTATCTCAAGTTGAAGGCCGACCAGGGTACTGCAGGCTGGTGGTAGCAACTATACTGAACAAAAATATAAATGCAACATGAAACAATTTCAAAGATTTTACTGAGTTACAGTTCATATAAGGAAATCAGTCAATTTAAATAAATTATTAGGCCTAATCTATGGATTTCACATGACTGGGCAGGGGTGCAGCCATGGGTGGACCTTGGAGGGCATAGGCCCACCCACTTGGCAGCCAGGCTCACCCACTGGGGAGTCAGGCCCAGCCAATCAGAATGAGTTTTTTTGCACGCTCTCTGAAAACTTGAGACATCTGTGGCATTGGGTTGTGTCACAAAACTGCACATTTTAAAGTGGCCTTTTATTGTTCCCAGCACAAGGTGCACCTGTGTAATTATCATGCTGTTTAATCAGCTTCTTGATATACCACACCGGTCAGGTGGATGGATTATCTTGGCAAAGGAAAAATGCTCACTAACAGGGATGTAAACACATTTGTGCAAAGAATTTGAGAGAAATAAGCTTTTGTGTGTATGGAACATTTCTGGGATTTTTATTTCAGCTCATGAAACATGGGACCAACACTTTACAAGTTGCGTTTATATTTTTGTTCAGTGTAGATTATCCTTATATCTTCTTCTTTGTGAGATAAAAAAAAAAAGTGGTTCAAGGACATACATCTGGTGTAATAGAAGCAATTATTGGTACCATGATTGTCTTCTAATTTGTATATTATTTACACTAATATTAACCACGAAGATTGCCATTTTCACATTCACTATAATGGGGATCCTGCTTTCTGGAAACAACAGCCTGCAGTACCGTTGTCGGCCTTGAACTTGTTCTCCCTTGGTGTCAGTGTGTCCGTTTAATACTGCCAACAGCCTGGGCCAAGAGCTAACAAGCTCACAGCTACCTCGGACAATGTGTGCTATATACAGTACAGGGTTGGGTAAGTTACTTTCTAAATGTAACCTGTTACCATTACTAGTTACCTGTCCAAAATTGTAATCAGTAACATAACTTTTGGATTACCCAAACTCAGTAACGTAATCTGATTAATTTCACTTACTTTCCCCTTAAGAGGCATTAGAACAGGCGTATCAAACTCATTCCATGGAGGGCCTAGTGTCTGCTGGTTTTTGGTTTTTCCATTCAATTAAGACCTAGACAACCAGGTGAGGGGAGTTCCTTACTAATTAGTGACCTTAATTAATCAATCAAGTACAGGGGAGGAGCTAAAACTTGCAGGCAATCGTCCCTCCATGGAATGAGTTTGACACGTGCATTAGAAGAAGGCTTACCCTGGCGTGACGTTTTCATAACCGTGTATATCTCTCTAGGACAAGATTACTTTTATCAATATATTTGCCTGTATCTACCGCCCAAAACTGAAATGCTAATTAGCTGCTAATGTGGCTATCATAAAGAACTACACATGCCATGATGATCTGGATGAGCCTGCCGAATCGAGGCAAAGTTAAGAATCTCTGGATTAATTATATAATGTTAGCTACATTTAGTAATGTATAAATTGGCAACATTTATTTAAATTGACAATTCTGTGAACTGTCTTGTGCAAGTTTTAAATTGACACAATACCTGTTAGCAAAGGTAACAGCTAGAGATGACATGCAGGAGCTTGTAGGGATTTGTAGTCTTGCATGATGTCTACTTTGATGCTAATTGACATTTTCGAATCTGAGAGTAAATAGAGCCGAATATATTGATAAAATTCACCTTGTCCAAGAGAGATTTATATGGTTATCAAAACGTCACGCCAGGGTAAGCCTACACGAAACACAGCCCTTATTTTAAGTGTTTCTACAATTCTCTATGGGAAAAATAAATTGTGGAAAAACGATTGGAACCATTTCTCTGTTTGACCACAAGGTGTTATGGGTATTATGACACCTTCACTGTGGGGCTCTATTCAAGTTGGCTAATCTTTGGATGCCGACAGCAGTAGCACCATTGGAAAACATAGCTTGGACTGTAGACTACAAAAGCCTATTCCTGCTCTTTTCCCGCGATCCATCAAATGCACGTGTGTCATCAAATCAAATAAAATGTTATTTGTCACATGCACCGAATACAACAGGTGTAGACCTTACAGTGAAACGTTTACTTACAAGCCCTTAACCAACAATGCAGTTTTAAGAAAATCAATGTTAAGTAAACCAATAGATAAGTAAAAAATAAAAGCAGCAAAATAATGGTAAAAATAACAGTAGCGAGGCTATATACAGGGGGTACCGGTACAGAGTCAATGTGTGGGGCACCGGTTAGTCGAGATAATTTAGGTAATATGTACATGTAGGTATAGTTAAAGTGACTATGCATAGATAATAAACAGAGAGTAGCAGCAGCGTAAAATAAATGGTGGGGGGTAGGGGGGCGGGACAATGCAAACAGTCCTGGTAGCCATTTGATTAGCTGTTTAGGAGTCTTATGGCTTGGGGGTAGAAATTGTTAAGAAGCCTTTTGGACCTAGACTTGGCGCTCCGGTACCGCTTGCCGTGCGGTAGCAGAGAGAACAGTCTATGACTAGGATGGCTGGAGTCTTTGACCATTTTTAGGGCCTTCCTCTGACACCGCCTGGTATAGAGGTCCTGGATGGCAGGAAGCTTGGCCCTGGTGATGTACTAGACCATACGCACTACCCTCTGTAGCGCCTTGCGGTCGGAGGCCGAGCAGTTGCCATACCAGGCAGTGATGCAACCAGTCAGGATGCTTTCGATGGTGCAGCTATATAACTTTTGGAGGATCTGAGGAGGAATAGGCTTTGTCGTGCCCTCTTCACGGTGTGTTTGGACCATGATAGTTTGTTGGTGATGTGGACACCAAGGAACTTGAAGCTCTTAACCTCCACTACAGCCCCGTCGATGAGAATTGGAGCATGCTCTGTCATTTTTTTCCTATAGTCCACAATCATTTCCTTTATCTTGATCACGTTGAGAGAGAGGTTGTTATCCTGGCACCACACGGCCAGGTCTCATCGTTGTCGGTGATCAGGCCTACCACTGTTGTGTCGTCGGCAAACTTAATGATGGTGTTGGAGTCGTGGTGTTGGAGTCATCATAGTGGTCTCTGACTTGTTGTCAGACTCGCTCAAGTGGAACAAACTTAAACTTGCACCTTTTTTCAATGCATTTGAATGTCATTTAGAAAACAGAAAGGTGTCAGATAATTTTTTCGCAAACATCCTTTCTGAATATTTTGGGGAATCAGTTACTTGCAATAGATTACATGAGAGAGAGAGATAGTTTACATGTAATCCGTTACTCCCCAACCCTGTAAAAACACCATCTCTATCGCTCTGTATCTATCAGCCATTCTACAGTGCCTTCAGAAATGTCACTGGCCTACACACAATACCCCATAATGCCAAAGTGGAATTATGTTTTTCAAATTGTTAAAAATTCAAATTAAATAAAAATGAAAAGCTGAAATGTCTTGAGTCAATAAGTGTTCAACCCCTTTGTTATGGCAAGCCTAAATTAGTTCAGGTGTAAACATTTGCTTAACAAGTCACATAATAAGTTGCATGGACTCCCTCTGTGTGCAATAATAGTGTTTAACATGATTTTTGAATGACTGCCTCATCTCTCTACCCCACACATACAATTATCTGTAAGGTCCCTCAGTACAACAGTGAATTTCAAACACTGATTCAACCACAAAGACCAAGGAGGTTTTCCAACGCTTCGAAAAAATTGGCACCTATTGGTAGGTGGGTAATAAAAAAAGTACTCATTGAATATTTACAGTAAAAACGCAATGCTACAAAAGCTAATTGAAGAATAGGATTTCTATCAAAAATCAATAAGTAGTACAGATACTGTGTTTAAGTGAGCATGGGTTCTGGGATGTTTACCTGTGTGTGGGTATGAGGTTGTAAAATGTATGTTTGAATAGTGTTTACTGGTGGTATTTCATTTTCAATAAATTTGCAAACATTTCTAAAAACATATTTTCACATTGTCATTATTGGGTATTGTGTGTAGATGGGAGAGATTTATTTATTTATTTTTAATCCATTTTGAATTCAGGCTGTAACACAACAAAATGTGGATTAAGTCAAGGAGTATGAATACTTTCTGAAGGCACTGTATCACTCAATCTCGCCCTCCCTGCTCATTCTCTCTCTCTTTCTTTCTCTCTGGCCCACTCTCTCCCCCCATCTCTCTTGTTCCATAGCCCCAGTCCCTAGTTCTAATCACGCTGCAGTTTCTCCCTTCCAAAGTCAATATTTTCTCTTCATTGCTTCCAGGGAGAAGAGCACATTAACACACAGACCTGTGGCTGTTATATAACCTATCTCTCTCTCTCTCTCTCTCTCTCTCTCTCTCTCTCTCTCTCTCTCTCTCTCTCTCTCTCTCTCTCTCTCTCTCTCTCTCTCTCTCTCTCTCTCTCTCTCTCTCTCTCTCTCTCTCTCTCTCTCTCTCTCTCTCTCTCTCTCTCGCTCTCTCTCTCTCTCTCTCTCGCTCTCTCTCTTATCCCCCCTCTGTATTCCTCTGTATCCCACTCTGTACTATACAGTATCTCTTCTCCTAATATCCTTTTCTCTCTCTCTCTCTCTCAATCTCTCTCTCTCTCTCTCTCTCTCTCTCTCTCTCTCTCTCTCTCTCTCTCTCTCTCTCTCTCTCTCTCTCTCTCTCTCTCACACACAGTCCCATGGTCCACATCAACCCCATCGTGAACATTACGGCTCATCCTCCACTTTCTCCTTCTCCTCATCCTACTCTTCACTACTCCCTCCATCCCTCTCATTCTCCAGGGTCGTCCTGTATACTGCATCCCTCTGAAATAGATTCTGTATGCCTCTGAAATAAACACAGTAACACGGTATCCCTCTACAAATCATGTGTTCCATCACAGGCCTGCTATTAGCCCCAGGGGCTCCTTAATCACCCTGTCATCTGGCCTGGTTGACCCTGGCTAGGGGAGGTGGTGGTGGGGGGACCAGCAGCTCTCTGTCCCTGTCCCTGTCCCCTGGAGGTCCCTCTCTCTCCTCCAACCTAGCCCACAGGCTGCCACTCTCCCATCTGATCACTCTCTTCTGTTCTGTTCTGTTCTGGGGGACCAGTGGATTCTTATGCAATGTGCAGCTGAATTATTAAAGGAACATATGTTGCTGCAGTTACGCTGTGGGCTATCAGCCGTGTTACCTCAGCACAGAGCCAAAGGAACTGCTTACACATACATGCACACACACACACACACAAACACTCACGCACAAACACATTTACATAAACACAGACACACAAAAATGCAAGCACACACACACACACACACATCTCATACCCTCTACAGGGATTCACATAAACTGTAGACACAGCATAAAGAGCACTGACATCATACTAAACTAAACACAACCCCCACTGACATCATACTGAACTAAACACAACCCCCACTGACATCATACTGAACTAAACACAACCCCCACTGACATCATGCTGAACTAAACACAACCCCCACTGACATCATACTGAACTAAACACAACCCACACTGACATCATACTGAACTAAACACAACCCCCACTGACATCATACGGAACTAAACACAACCCCCACTGACATCATACTGAACTAAACACAACCCCCACTAACATCATACTGAATTAAACACAACCCCCACTGACATCATACTGAACTAAACACAACCCCCACTAACATCATACTGAATTAAACACAACCCCCACTAACATCATACAGAACTAAACACAACCCCCACTGACATCATACTGAACTAAACACAACCCCCACTGACATCATACTGAACTAAACACAACCCCCACTGACATCATACTGAACTAAACACAACCACCACTGACATCATACTGAACTAAACACAACCCCCACTGACATCATACTGAACTAAACACAACCCCCACTGACATCATACTGAACTAAACACAACCCTCACTGACATCATACTGAACTAAACACAACCCCCACTGACAGCATACACATATTTCATATAGTGTAGAAAAACAAACACACAAGCATTCACTCAAACAAACACACACATACCTTCCTGGGGCACACTGGCGTTCCTGACATTGTCTCGTTCCTCTGCGGTCTCATTGGACACGGAGGTGCCGCTCTTGGTCCTCCGCAGGACACTGAATGCACGGTTCAACCGCCTGAAGGAGCGGCTCCTGACCGAGGTGCGGTCATAGTTTCGGACTGAGGGGAAAGAGAGACAGGGGCACACTTTATAAATCAGCTCTGTACTGACTGAACATGCCTGGACAAGTCTCTGAGCCTGCCTCACCACAGCCAATCAGATGCCTGAGATCTCTCATTCACTCTGCCTCAAAAACAAAGTCCATGACAACAGCTTGAACACATCTGTTTTAGAGAATCCAATCAAAATCCTTCATGAATTCCCCAAACACTCATTTGTTTGTCATTATGTCAAAGCTGAGGAACAGCTGGAGGGAGGGGGCCTATAAACTCTGCAGGGGTGATGAGCTTCGTAAACTGCAGCAGTCATGTTTCATGTAATCAACAGCTAAAACTAGGTGCAGTATAAATACACCAGTCTGACCCTACTATAGTCTACTGAGATTCTGACAGGGAGTGTGGGTCCCTGGCTCTACCAGAGCGGAGCAGGCTGCATTGGAGTGTGAGTCCCAGCCTGGCTCCCCTGAGAGCGGGCAGTGAGCCTCTGCAACGCCCCTTGCTCTGCGGGCCTGGAGAGATGCAAAGGCCTCCTGACAGCCACATTATTCTTTAAAAGCACCCAGTGCTTCTGGAGATGACAGCTTGTTCAGCAGCAGTGGCTCTGCATGGCGGTGGGTGCTCCGCTCGGCGGACTGGGCCAAAAGTGCTGTTGCAGCGTTATTTGGTGTCCCCACCGGCAGCGTGTTCACATTGAGAGGGGGGACGTGAGTGAGTGCAACAGGCGTGAGTGGCTCCAGGGTTCACAGGTGGGATGAGTGGATGGTGAGGGCCTATCACGTCATTCAGCATTAATGGACCTGGACTGTGTTAAATCCTCATTCCTACCACTCCCACTTCCTCTCTTTACATGCTCTCTCTCTCTGTCTCTCTCTGTCTCTCTCTGTCTCTCTCTGTCTCTCTCTGTCTCTCTCTTGCTCTGTCTGTCTGTCTGTCTGTCTGTCTGTCTGTCTGTCTGTCTGTCTGTCTGTCTGTCTGTCTGTCTGTCTGTCTGTCTGGCTGGCTGGCTGGCTGGCTGGCTGGCTGGCTGCCTGCCTGCCTGCCTGCCTGCCTGTCTGTCTGTCTGTCTGTCTGTCTGCCTGTCTGTCTGTCTGTCTGTCTGTCTGTCTGTCTGTCTGTCTGTCTCTCTCTCTCTCTCTCTCGCTCTCTCTGTCTCTCTCTCTCCCTGTCTCTCTCTCTGTGTGAAAAAAGATCAGTAAAAACGCAATGCTACAAAAGCTAATTGAAGAATAGGATTTCTATCAAAAATCATTAAGTAGTACAGATACTGTGTTTAAGTGATCATGGGTTCTGGGATGTTTACCTGTGTGTGGGTATGAGGTTGTAAAATGGATGTTTGAATAGTGTTTACTGGTGGTATCTACGTGAGTGAGGGACTATGAAACTGTGACTAGAAAGCCTCCGCTGGCTCCCTGCTTTCTATTGATTTTCAAACAGTCACACTGACAAACAGTTCGATACGCACACACACACACACACACACACACACACACACACACACACACACACACACACACACACACACACACACACACACACACACACACACACACACACACACACACACACACACACACACAGTGCTTTATAGATCAGAGAAAGGTTACTTGGTGCAGAACTACACAATCACAAACACACACAAACACATCCGTACGTACGCACACTCACAATCACTCTTTTTGGTACTGCTACGGGCTGCCAGGCTGGTGGTGCTGCCTGATTGGCTGTTATCCTCCATGCTGGGGTCAAAGGCGGGGTTGACGAGGCCGGGATCATCTGATAGGAGGGCGACAGCAGCGGAGTTGGGGCCATCGCCGGGCAGGGTGGCGACGGTGAGTTCTGACGTGCTGTCAGTGCAGTCACCCTCCTGGGAACGCCTCTTCCTGTCCGCAGACAGGCCATAGTGAGACGCACCTTTACACCTGCAAATACACACAGGGAGAGAAGTACAGTCAGTCAGAGACACACACCATAGGCCCAGCTGGGAGAGGTGATGCATCAACAACAACAACAACCCACCAAGAAACCATGGGATAGTGGAACAGTGAGGTGTGTGGAGCCTGTGATGGATGGAACCATTATTCTGCTCTCAATGACTCATCACCAATTACCATGTGTCATGAATTATGATGCGCTGAACACACAACAGCCACTTTATCACGGAGCAGGATGGAGTTAGCCATCGGTCAACAACAGCTGACAACATGTCAACACTGTCTGAATCCTCCTGTACCCTCAGTGGATCAGTAGTGACAACGGTTGACAACACAGTCCAGTTAGAGATAATATGGACAGGGATTAAACCATAGGGGTAAAGGTTAAAGGTCACCGCCATCTCAGGAGCAGTTGTTAAAGTGTTGTGACCTCCAACCCATCACCCTCTGGCTGTGTCCACCTCCTCACCTCTACATCCTGATCCAAGCTGCCCTGAGGCGACATCTATCTGACCTCACGACTGAGGTCATCATCTTGACAAGTGATTCCTCCTCGGGCAACAACATCACACACTCAATACACAACCTGCTAGTGAAATAATAGCATATTTTCTTTCATACATCCCTGATCATTGTATTTGTATTTAATGGATGTTCTTCTGTAATAAAAAGTGGATTGATAATGTCATACTGCACCACTGATTCTCTGCTTCTTTTCATCCTTCCTGGCTTCTTTGTTTTATTCATTCAGTGTATAATGATATGCATTATGCTGCTCTGTGAGTCGCTGTGGATAAGATCGGCTAACAGATTGAATAATGATGTGACCAAACAAACGTATAGAACAGGTAACAGAAGAGACATCAGGAATACAAAACACCACGCAGATATCAATGTCATATTGTCCCACATGAAACTAATCACATTCTCAAATTCCCACTATTCTTCTTTCCCGTACCTACACTCGCTCTGCAACACAAACAGAACACTCGAAAGCCACAAACGCACAAACACCCACGTGCACATACACACACACACACACGTGCACATTCACACACACACACGCAAACACGCAAACACACACAAACACACACAAACACACACACACACACAACCCTACATTTGAAATCTTCACAAACTGATAATGTCAGGAGTGTGTTTGCATATAGACAGCAAATAACTGTCTCTGTGTCTTTCTCTTACATAATAAAGGCTTTTGGTTGAAGCTCCAACAATGGAAGCTGAAATAACATTGTCCTGCTTCTGCATCTCTGTGGAGCCATAAGAACAAACATTAACTGTGTTTTTATGGGCTGGATCAGACGCAGTTAGAGCTTCTACTCACACACAGACATACACAGCAAACTGGATCAATTTCTACATAAATCCTCATTACAGCAGCAGGTGTTATTACTGTATATGGAGGACAGGATGCATTTAAGGCAAACTGGAGGACATAAAGTAATAGCTAAAATGGTGGCCATCAGCCTCTTGCTCCATTTGGGAGGACACAAATAGAGGAAATAGCATTAGATGGCGCTGAGTGATGGGAGCCCAGAAACAGGCTGTGTGTGTCTGAGGGTGAGAGCCGTTGGCTCTCTGGGGGCTCCAGCATTTTGTCTCAATCAGAGGTCTGTCTGAGCAGGTCATGCTCTGTGTCCATACATCACAGACAGAGACATTTCATCCTGAACTGGCCTCTATATCTTACTTTTCCAGCCATTGGGCTTGACTCTCGCCAGTCAGCTCTAACACTAGGCTGACAGACACACAGAGAGTTTGGTGAGCAGTCGATTCAGTTTGGGTGTGGTGACTGACATTCAAAGAAGAGGATGAAGCTTCAGACAGTGGAGCCAAGCAGAGGCCCATTGATCATGATTTGTGGCCCAGTCAGAGCTCTGTTATGCAGGGATACTTGTGGTTACTAACTCCCCCCTCCTCCACCTGTGTTCCACCAGCCTGTCAGATGGAGGGAGGCGTGTGTGTGTGTGTCCGTGCGTGCATGCGTTTGTGTGTGTGCATGTGTGTGTGTGTGTCTCTCTCTCTGCTGGAAACTCACCTTAATTCAGAGTTAATATATTGAATCGCATCAAGCGTGTCGAGTCAGCAATATACCACTTAAGCAAGGGAAGTGGTTGGATAGAAGAACAACATTTCAGTCAACAACACTGAGCCCTACTCCAGTAGAGAGGAGAGGCAGCCTTTCACATGTCACTCAACATCAATTAATGTAATTAAAGCTGCATGCACATCAGCCATAAAATACTGCTGTTACACCAGCATGTTACGTGCTTCAAGTGGGGCTAAATGAATTAATTCAAGACATTAGGAAATGTACAATGCGCACACACACACACACTGTCACGGTTTCGGCCGAGGCTGCTCCTCCTCCTTGCTCGGGCAGGCTTCGGCGGTCGTCGTCCCCGGAGTACTAGCTGCCACCGTTGTATGTTATCGATGTTTGTTTGGTTTTGTCTTCCTTGTTCACCTGTTTCCTGTTAGTGTTAATTATGTTCCCTATATGTGTCTCGTTTTGTTTGTAGTGAGTTGTGTGTAATTGTTCCGCCTGTCTGTAGGTGCTGGTATTTTGCTCTATTGTGTTTTAGAGTCCAGACGCACTTTTGCGTATTGCTTGTGCATTGGAGTGTTTTTGCGCACTGTTGCGTAATCGCTCGCCTCCTTGTTTTGTTGAGGCCCTTTTCTTTGTATTTCGTGTCCTCCAGTAAAGTCTGTTGGAAGTAGCTTCTGTGTCCTGCGCCTGACTCCTACACCACATCCACATCAGCCACTGACAGACTTACACACCCTCATCGAGTCAGCAGGAGCAGCAGCAGCACCCGAGTCGCTGGAGGAGCGCGTCAGCGGGCAAGACGACCGGATCCTTCAACTCGGGTCCGCCCTGCAGGACGTGATCAGCTGAAGGGGGGCCCGATGCGTTTGCAGTGGTCAGCTGAGGCGGACAGGGCATTTGGGAGACTGAAGGACCTGTTCACTTCGGCTCCGGTGCTGGCGCATCCGGACCCCGCTTTACCATTCCAGGTAGAGGTGGACGCGTCAGAGGCCGGTATTGGGGCCGTACTATCGCAACGGTCCGGCACGCCACCTAAACTCCGCCCCTGTGCTTTTTATTCTAAGAAGCTCAGCCCGGCGGAGCGAAATTATGACGTAGGGGACAGGGAGCTGTTAGCCGTGGTACAGGCCCTAAAGGTGTGGAGGCATTGGCTTGAGGGGGCTCAACACCCTTTTCTCATTTTGACTGATCACCGTAACCTGGAGTACATCCGGGCAGCTAGGAGATTGAACCCTCGTCAGGCTCGGTGGAACATGTTTCTAACCCGGTTCGTGTTTAAAATAACGTACATCCCTGGGTCCCAGAACGGTAAGGCAGACGCCCTGTCCCGGCGATATGACACAGAGGAGAGGTCCATTGAGCCCACTCCCATCCTGCCAGAGTCTTGTCTGGTGGCACCGGTAGTGTGGGAGGTCGATGCGGAGATCGAGCAGGCGTTGCGTACCGACCCTAGTCCCCCAAAGTGTCCTGTGGGTCGGACGTACGTTCCGCTCGAGGTTCGGGATCGTCTGATTTATTGGGCTCATACGTCCCCCTCCTCTGGACATCCAGGTATTGGCCGGACAGTGCACTGCCTTAGCGCTATGTACTGGTGGCCAACGTTAGCCAGGGATGTGAGGGTTTATGTCTCCTCCTGCTCGGTGTGCGCCCAGTGTAAGGCGCCTAGACACCTGCCCAGGGGAAAGTTACAACCCCTGCCCGTTCCACAACGACCCTGGTCTCACCTCTCGGTGGATTTCGTTACAGACCTTCCCCCCTCTCAGGGGAATACCTCTATACTGGTCGTTGTGGATCGGTTCTCGAAGGCCTGTCGTCTCCTCCCAATGCCGGGTCTCCCTACTGCCCTACAGATCGCTGAGGCACTGTTCACCCACGTCTTTCGGCACTACGGGGTGCCCGAGGATATAGTGTCTGATCGAGGTCCCCAGTTCACCTCCAGAGTCTGGAGGGCGTTCATGGAGCGCTTGGGGGTCTCGGTGAGCCTTACCTCGGGGTACCACCCAGAGAGCAATGGGCAGGTAGAAAGAGTGAACCAGGATGTGGGTAGGTTTCTGAGATCGTATTGCCAGGGCCGGCCGGAGGAGTGGGCGAGGTATATCCCCTGGGCAGAGATGGCACAGAACTCTCTCCGCCACTCCTCCACCAACCTAACCCCTTCCCAATGTGTGTTAGGGTATCAGCCGGTTCTGGCACCATGGCATCAGAGCCAGATCGAGGCTCCTGCGGTGGATGAGTGGGTGCGGCGCTCGGAGGAGACGTGGAACGCTGCACACGTCCATCTGCAGCGGGCCATCTGTCGACAAAAGGCGAGCGCCAATCTCCACCGCAGTGAGGGTCCGGTGTACGCACCTGGAGATCGAGTCTGGCTCTCGACTCGAAACCTGCCCCTCCGCCTGCCCTGCCGGAAGCTGGGTCGGCGGTTTGTAAGGCCATTTAAAGTCCTGAGGAGGTTGAACGAGGTGTGTTACAGGTTACAACTGCCTATTGATTATCACATTAACCCCTCGTTCCATGTGTCTCTTCTCAGGCCGGTGGTAGCTGGTCCACTCCAGGACTGTGAGATAAGTGAGACTCCTCCGCCCCCATTGGACATCGAGGGGGCTCCGGCGTACACAGTTCGGTCCATCTTGGATTCGAGACGTCGGATGGGGGGTCTCCAGTATCTCGTGGAGTGGGAGGGGTATGGCCCGGAGGAACGGTGCTGGATGCCGAGGAGGGACATCTTAGACCCATCTCTCCTGACTGAGTACCACCGTGGCCATCCCACGCGCCCTGCTCCGCGTCCTCCTGGTCGTCCCCGAGGCCGGGGTCGGCGCACGGCTGGAGCCGCGCGTCAAGGGGGGGGGTACTGTCACGGTTTCGGCCGAGGCTGCTCCTCCTCCTTGCTCGGGCAGGCTTCGGCGGTCGTCGTCCCCGGAGTAATAGCTGCCACCGTTGTATGTTATCGATGTTTGTTTGGTTTTGTCTTCCTTGTTCACCTGTTTCCTGTTAGTGTTAATTATGTTCCCTATATGTGTCTCGTTTTGTTTGTAGTGAGTTGTGTGTAATTGTTCCGCCTGTCCGTAGGTGCTGGTATTTTGCTCTATTGTGTTTTAGAGTCCAGACGCACTTTTGCGTATTGCTTGTGCATTGGAGTGTTTTTGCGCACTGTTGCGTAATCGCTCGCCTCCTTGTTTTGTTGAGACCCTTTTCTTTGTATTTCGTGTCCTCCAGTAAAGTCTGTTGGAAGTAGCTTCTGTGTCCTGCGCCTGACTCCTACACCACATCCACATCAGCCACTGACACACACACACACACAGACAGACACTGCGATACACCTACAGATGGTAAAGCCTGTAGTACAGTACATTGGGCCAAGCTGACAGTAAGCAATTAAATCCTTAGACAACATTCCCATAATATTATTTCACCCTCGGCAGTGGAAAATCAAGTTAACAGAGCTGTTCAGAGAGTGATGAAGAAGTTTCCATTCAGGTATGTAAATCTCAGAGACCACCCAACCAGCAATTTCCTTTTAATCCTGGTGCCATATTTGAATAACCATTAATAAAAGCACACATACCATTTGATCAGGTCTGTCAAAGGCTACTTCTTATGTCTACCGGTGTCCTGGTCTCCCCGTCTGTTTGTCTGTCTGTCTACCCGTCTGTCTCCCAGTCTGTTTGTCTCCCCATCTGTTTGTCTGTCCGTCTCCCCGTCTGTCTCCCCGTCTGACTCCCTGTCTGTTTGTCTGTTTGTCTGTCCGTCTCCCCGTCTGTCCATCTGTGGGTGTACCTGTCTGTCTTCCTGTCTTCATCCTGCAAGTCACCAGACAGTCTTGCCGGGTATGAAATAAGATGTAGAGTCTGTACCATCAAATTTATTGTATATCCAAATATTATCCAAGTAATAAGCTCACCCAAGGTGTGTGACCAGTGCATCACCCAGGTGGTTTGAAAATAACTAGAAGGCATTATCTATTAGAGCGGAAACTCACGGTACAATATGGTCTTCCCCTCAGAGATGACACGCTAGTCATTGTCTCGTGTGTTCCTTGTCGTTAAGGGATTTGGCTACCCTTAAATCAAATCCCCTTCCTTCTGGGGATCAGAGGCACAGTGCTGCCTTAGCCACTTAGGCATATCTCCACTGCTGCTTAGAGCTTTAATGGCTGTCTGGAGGAATTAAGGCCACAATCTCTCCAGTCTGAGGCCAGGAACAGGCAACCCAGACAACAGTCCCCAAGTCACAGAGGGACAGACAGGGTGGTCCTGCAGCTGCGGACCCCAGAGCCTACAAAGTATCCTATGAGTATACAAGCTAACAAAAAGACAAATCTCGCATAATTTTCTTCAGAACCAACTACTCTTTGTTTTTGTCTGCCCTCCTATCTAATACACAAACACAACCTCCTACTGTAGAGTCAATTGTGTTTTTCTGTCCCCTCCCCTGTGTGTGTCAGTGAGTGATTTGTGTTCCGGGGATCATGGAAAAGCTTTGTGTTGGCACATTAGCACTAGCTGCCTGCCTCAGCAGCAGTACACCAGGCCTAGTTCTCCACAGTTACAGACACAGAGAGACGCTTCAATTATCACATAATCTCCCTCAACCCTGTGATCTGGAGAGAGATAGCTAAGGAACAGCAACACTAACCCCTTCCTTAAACCTAAAACCTTCTCACCCATCCTCCCTCCCTCTCCTTTCTTTTCCTCCTCCCCTCCTCCCCCCTCCCCCCTCCCCCTCTAGCACAATAATAATTACCCAGCATGCCATGGGAGAGGTGGCGGTGGCGGAGGGGAGAGGGGAAAGGGGAGGAAGCGCCCTGGCTGGATGTGACACAAACAGTTCTGTTCATATGATGTGAAATAAACACCAGCTCACAACTTATCAAAGCCTGTGAGATTCTTCAATCCTCTTTAGGGTTGAGTGGATTATCCTCCCTTACCTAAATACGCTGCGCTACACTACGCTACGCTACGATCTCCTCTCCTATCCCTCACTGAGCGCAGCACAGAAGCATATCTGCACAGAATACATAGCCACCACAAATAACCAGGCCACTATTAAAATATAAGCTAGATCAGCCAGTCAGGTACGGACACAGGGTTCCCAGAGTGTGTGTGTCTGTCTGTGTGTGTGTGTGTGTGTGTGTGTGTGTATATATATGTGTGTGTGTGTCTCTGTGTGTGTGTGTACTTGTGTGTGTGTGCATGAATGGCCTTGAATACCCAGAGTGTATCCTCTCTCCCAACAGTCAAGGATGGTCCAGTGTTGTGACCTGATCTCTGATGGGCGTATCCACTCTGAGGTTGGTGTATAGTATCCTCTCCTCTCTCTGATGGCTACTGAGTTACTGAGAGTCCTATAAGAACCAACCCAGTCCCCCGCCGGGCCCTTCTCCGCTTCTGGCAGTAGAGAATCCAGCAGTGTTAATCCAGACTATAGGAGTCCTGCAGTGCAATCCTCTCCCAGCTCACTCCATGACAGCTCAGATCTTAAAACACATTGGAATATACACTACCGGTCAAAAGTTTTAGAACACCTACTCATTCCAGGATTTTACTTTATTTTGACTATTTTCTACTTTATAGAATAATAGTGAAGACATCAAAACTATGAAATAACACATATGGACTCATGTAATAACCAAACAAGTGTTAAACAAATCAAACTATATTTTATATTTGAGATTCATCAAATAGCCACCCTTTGCCTTGATGACAGCTTTGCACACTCTTGGCATTCTCTTGGCTTTTTGAAGAATCTCAAATATAAAATATATTTTGATTTGTTTAACACTTTTTTTTGTTACTACAGTTTTGATGTCTTCACTATTATTCTACAATGTAGAAAATAGTCAAAATAAAGAAAAATCCTTGAATGAGTAGCTGTTCTAAAACTTTTGACCGGTAGTGTAACTCCTGACATAAGAGAGGCTGAGAGAAAATAAACGTATCTATGCCACTGTGAAAGAGAGAGTAGTTTGGGACTGACAATAGCTCTGCCCAGGAGGCCTATGTTGGTGATATACCATCATTCCTGAGCGTTCCTGTTAATCAACCTTCTTATCTTCTGAACTGAGGAGTATGCTCTTTCTAATCTCTATCTATGCTTTATCACAAGATGAAACTGAAACTAATTGCCTCGGCAACAAAGCCTCTGGATTAAGATACTCAAAATCTCACTAATCGCAAGAATAGAAGAGGGAAAAAACCTCTTCTCCTACTCTCCAAAAGTAATTCACTGTCCCAAGGATTCAACTTTTGACAGGAAACTGTCTGCCTGTCTGGGAGAGCTTTTGACACATCACAGAGGAACTCACTTTAAACTGTTTGAAGAAATAAAACCCAACCCTTCCTTTCTTTCCCACAGGAATCTGTGTGAAACGAGCACCTAGGCCCTAGTTCCTCTCCTAGTGGATGAGAGAACACAGGAGCACAGGGGAGCACCTGGGGCATGGACACACACACACACACACACACACACACACACACACACACACACACACACACACACACACACACACACACACACACACACACACACACACACACACACACACACACACACACACACACACACACACACACACACACACACACACTCACACTCACACACACAGACACGACATGGGGAGGGATAATGTTTATTAATTAAATCCATAGTGACAAAGGCCTGGAGAAAAGAAGAGAACATCTGTGTTCACTGGCTTCTAAATTAGATCAGTTTATCAATTACTAGTAGCTTTCTTTCTTTAGAGTAGACCATATACAATATACAGAGAGAGGGAGGGAGGGATGGAGAGAGATACGATATATAGAGAGAGAGAGAGAGAGTAGATCTCGATGATGACTCTCTAGAGCATGGATCTAGCTCCGCTCTCCTCTCCTCTCGCGCTCGATATAGTGATCGCTCCCTCTCCCTATCTATCTCTCTCCTCTCTCTCTTCTCTCTCTCTCTCTCTCTCTCTTTCTTTCTATTCGTTCTTGCTTTCTTTCTTCCATCTCGCCTGTTTTTTTTCCCTTCGCCCCTTTTTCTCTCTCCTTCCCCCATTTCCCTTCCTACCCCCCGCTTTATCAGTAGACGTGCTGGTGTGTTGATTGGATTCTGCTGCTTTTGCTCAGAGGAAATGTCAGCTATGATGAAGCATCAGCTGAAATTCTCAACGACTGAATAGGGTTGAATCTCAGCTATAGGGTGTGACTTAACAACAAAGCCCCTCAGGCCCGAGACAAACACATGCAGGGCTCATATCACAGACACCCACAAACACAAAATCAGGTGGCTCAGCTGTGCTAGCTACTGTAAGTCTGGCTGATCTGGTTTGGCAGGGTTGGTTCACCAACCCTGGGGTGGCAGGTAGACTAGCGGTTAAGAGTGTTGGGCCAATAACCGAAAGGTCACTGGTTCGAATCCCAGAGCCGACTGGGTGAAAAATCTGTCGATGTGAGCAAGGCACTTACCCCTCATTGCTCCCGTAAATTGCTCTGTATAAGAGTGTCTGCTAAATGACTAAAATGTAATGATCTAAAAGAAAACACCCCATCAGGGACACAGCCCAGCCCAGCCCTTAGTCAATGAGGTCATCAGCCTCAGCTCTGAATCAGGCCTTTTCTCCAATCAATATTAGAGTCCCATCATCAGCCAAAGCCATGACCTGACATGATCAGCCAGGAAAGATGTACAGTATATGCAGCAGTCATTGTATGAGTGTGGTGTTTCAACCAACAGTCTGCCTCTCTGTACTCATCTCCTTCTCCTCCATCCTGTTCTCTCTTTTGTACTCTCTCCATCCATCCTTTCTGCTCTCTCCTCCTCTCTCTCCCTCCACCTTGTAACTCTCTCTCTCTCTTTTTCTCTGTCAGAGGAGAACAGCACAGCAAGTACAGAGCTGATTTATTCTCTCCTCGGCTCGGGAGAGTAGCTGGCTCTGAGCTCGCTACAATAACAGCCATGTCTCCACTACATAACAAAGGTATCTTTCATTGAAATTCCGGGAATTGTCAGTGCTTCAATGTAAGTCTATAAGGCCAATACCATGGCAGGCAAGAATGACTGCAGTGGGAATTATGTCTGTATCATTCTTTTCCAGCACTGTGAGAGTCTTTGATGTGTTTGAGAAACACACTAAGGGAAACACACATACTAGGTAAAGTATGTGGAGGTTTTTGTGAGTGTGTATGTGTGTGCACTTTACATGCGTGTGTGTATGTGTGAGCGTGAGAACCTTTAATGTTAAAAGGCAGTCAAGGACAGCCTCCAGAGGACCTGTTGGTGAATTATATATTCTATTCACTGTGACTTTAGAGGCCTGTGTGTGGGTGTGGGTGTATAGTTATATGTACGTGAGTGTGCTAGTAGAGTATAAATGAATAATAGATGTATCTCTGTTGTAATCTCCTATTAACTTAGACTTGTATTGTATTTCGTTAAAGTGATTAGCTTACTTTCCCCTAACATGCTACTAATATAGCGCCAGAGTAGCCTAGCATACAAAACATTTCACATATCTGGTATTCTGTCAGAATGTGCAATATTGTGTTTCTGTGTGTGTGTCATGGGTAACACTCCAATATTACCCCCTGCTAAGTGGAGTCATGTGTTCCCTTTCTGCTAGTATCCCACAGTGCTCTAGGTGCCACTCTGCATGCCTCTGCTCTCTATGGTCTCATTTATCACATGGTCACATGGTCAGAGAGCGGGCTGGTGGGCCGTGTTGCCGTGGAACCCGTGCCTCCACCAGCCTGTCCACCCCCCATGGAAACAAGGTCACCACAGAAACTATCCCTGCAGTGCCTTACCATAGTTCCGCTGGGCCCTATTTGTTTCCCGCTACGCGCCACGGTCGCTGGGTGACGTGTGGCCTGGGGCGTGGCCAGGGGGCGTGGTACGAGGCAGCCAGGGCATCACATCACATCACTGACATGACAGATTAGACTAGCTCCTGCTTTCCTCTCATCTCCTCTCCTCCCTCTCTCCTCTGTCTCGCTCTCTCTCCCTCTCTCTCTCTGTCTCTGAGATAGCTGTGCTCCACTGTCTGTGCTGGCCACTCATAAGGAACGTGACCGTGCCGATAAGACAGTCAGCAGAGGAGAGATATCCACCTTGTAGAACAGGCTGCAGCTCAATATACACACGGATACAGGTAGACCAAAGACACACTGATACAGGTAGACCAAAGACACACTGATACAGGCAGACCAGAGACACACTGATACAGGTAGACCAAAGACACACTGATACAGGTAGACCAAAGACACACTGATACAGGTAGACCAAAGACACACTGATACAGGCAGACCAGAGACACACTGATACAGGCAGACCAGAGACACACTGATACAGGCAGACCAGAGTCCTATTCAACAGGATGGTATGAATGCCTTGTCATTCTTCAGTATGTGTCATTATTTTACGCTACAGTTAGGCAGTAGAATACTACAGTACTACAGTATACATGCACAAACAAACATATGTGCTGCAACATTCATACCCACCCAATCAACACAGTATATTTAATAGAACTCTGCCTTGCATAGACATTGCATCTCTCTAACCACCCAATCTTCATCGCCTCCCCTTGTCCTCCAAGCTAACCTAGTCTCCCGCGGGCCATGCTCAACATGTCTGTATGACATTAGAGGAGAAGACTCTCAAAGTTACAAAGACTACCCTCTGCTCTCTTTCTCTCATGCATTAATTATTTTCTGAAATAATTAATCACTGCTTTTGTGTGTGTGTATGTGTAGGCTACGCATGGGTCGTGTGATAATGTGTACCTCTGTGTGTGTGTGTGTGTGTGTGTGTGTGTGTGTGTGTGTGTGTGTGTGTGTGTGTGTGCGTCTATGTGCACGTGTGCGTGCGTATGTGCAGATACAGTATCTCTCTCTCTCTAAGTGTGTCCTTTACATTCATGTTTGGGTGGAAGTGATATCACACATCACAGTTGTCTGTTCATCCATACATATTGTACAGTACCTTCGGAAAGTATTCAGACGCCTTGACTTTTCCCACATTTTGTTACGTTACAGCCTTATTCTAAAATGGATTAGATAAATACAAATCCTCAGCAATCTACACGCAATACCCAATAATGACAAAGCGAAAAACTGGTTTTTATAAATTTGTGCAAATTAATAACAAATAAATATTTAAATAAGTTTTCAGACCCTTTGCTATGAGACTCGAAATTGAGCTCAGGTGCATCCTGTTTCCATTGATCATCCTTGAGATGTTTCTACAACTTGATTGGAGTCCACCTGTGGTAAATTCAATTGATTGGACATGATTTGGAAAGGCACACACCTGTCTATATAAGGTCCCAAAGTTGACAGTGCATGTCAGAGAAAAAACCAAGCCATGAGGTCGAAGGAATTATTGGTAGAGCTCCAAGACAGGATTGTATCAAGGCACAGATCTGGGGAAGGGTACCAAAAAATGTCTGCAGCATTGAAGGTCCCCAAAAACACAGTGGCCTCCATCATTCTTAAATGGAAGAAGTTTGGAACTACCAAGACTCTTCCAAACTGAGCAATCAGGGGAGAAGGGCCTTGGTCAGGGAGGTGACCAAGAACCCGATGGTCACTCTGACAGAGCTCTAGAGTTCCTCTGTGGAGATGGGAGAACCTTCCAGAAGGACTACCATCTCTGCAGCACTCCACCAATCAGGCCTTTATGGTAGAGTGGCCAGACGGAAGCCACTCCTCAGTAAAAGGCACATGACAGCCCGCTTGGAGTTTACCAAAAGGCACAAAAGACTCTCAGGCCATGAGAAACAAGATTCTCTGGTCTGATGAAACCAAGCTTGAACTCTTTGGCCTGAATGTCAAGTGTCACGTCTGGAAGAAAACCTGGCACCATCCCTACGGTGAAGCATGGCGGTGGCAGCATCATGCTGTGGGGATGTTTTTCAGCGGCAGGGAGACTAGTCAGGATTGAGGCAAAGATGAACAGAGCAAAGTACAGAGAGATCCTTAATGAAAACCTGCTCCAGAGCGCTCTGGACCTTAGACTGGGGCGAAGGTTCACCTTCCAACAGGACAATGGCCCTAAGCACACAGCCAAGACAACGCAGGAGTGGCTTCGGGACAAGTCTCTGAATGTCCTTGAGTGGCCCAGCCAGAGCCCAGACTTGAACCTGATCGAACATCTCTGGAGAGACCTGAAAATAGCTGTGCAGCAACGCTCGCCATCCAACCTGACAGAGCTTGAGAGGATCTGCAGAGAAGAATGGGAGAAACTCCCCAAATACAGGTGTGCCAAGCTTGTAGCTTCATACCCAAGAAGACTCAAGTCTGTAATCGCTGCCAAAGATGCTTCAACAAAGCACTGAGTAAAGGGTTTGAATACTTATGTAAATGTTATATTTCAGTTTTATTTTATTTTATAAATTAGCAAACATTTCTAAAAACCTGTTTTTGCTTTGTCATTATGGGTTATTATGTGTAGATTGATGAGGGGAAAAAACTATTTAATCCATTTTAGAATAAGGCTGTAACCTAACAAAATGTAGAAAAAGTAAATGGGTCTGAATACTTTCCGAAGGCACTGTATGTTCCTATGTTAGAGTATAGCTACATGAAGTGCGTTTTATGCATGGTATGTGAGCATCAACCACTAACAATGTGGAGTCAGGTGGTCAGAATGGTCTCCAGTGAGAAAGTACATTTGCGTGTACAGTTGGATAAGATTTTGTCTGTTGTCCTGATTTAATCATAGCCTCTATACCCTCCTCTGCTCCATTCCTCTGACCTCAGCCTGACAGATGCGCTGAGACAGGGAGAGCCGCCTGACCGCAGAAAAATGATTTATATTTAATCCAAACAAAAGTGTAATTAGTGAAGCAAGCCCTCCACCCAGCCACAAGACTAAGATGGGCCTGGGCCGGGATGGTAGTCAGGGTACGGTATGTCTTTGACTGGGGATGGGATGGACCTGGAATAAACAAATGCCTCTTATCGTTCAGATCCCCTACTCTGTGGCCAGGCGGCGGCTAATCCTGTTAGGATACGTCAGTGCGGAAGGCTCTGGGAGCACTGGGAGTACGCCGCAGCTCTCTCTACGTCAAGCTTTAGGGGAGATCAAACACCTTGGAGATTCAGGTTGAAAGGACGGACGCTAAACCAATCATAGTGTTTAAGGCAAGCCAGCCCAGGCCCCAGAAATGAACACAAATTCATAATTAACACTCGATAGCACTGCAATGTGATTATCAGGGGAGTAGAGGGCATGTGTGCTGGGGGAGGGGTGAGACGTGTGTGGCAGTGTGTGCGTGTGTGTGTTATGGAAAAATGGAGTGGATTATGTATATGTTTGCTAAAGGGGTGGTAAGTGGACGCAGCGTTCATGTCTTTTGTGCGATTTTTTTGTTTGTGCGTGTGTGTGTGCGTTAGTGCGCGTGTGTGTGTGTACATTTACATTTACATTTTAGTAATTTAGCAGACGCTCTTATCCAGAGTGACTTCCAATTAGTGAGTGCATAAATTTTTCATACTGGCCCCCCGTGTACAATATGTACAGGGACACATGGAGAGAAACGTCATAGGTGCTCTTGTGTGTGTGTGCCAGTGCTACGTTTCAATTGGCTGGTGCTGACAGAGAGCAATGGTGGTAACTCTATTAAAGATTTCAATACGGAACAACAACACCTATTCTCGAGAGATGGAGAGAGAGAGGAGAGATTAGAGTGAGAGAGAGAGAGAGGAGAGAGAGGCGGGAGAGAGAGAAGAGAGATAGAGAGAGAATCTGAGATATATATATCTCTCGCTCTAGTCTATAGAGATCGATAGATGTGGAGATAGAGAGATAGAGTATCTTCTTCGTGATTATCGAGCTCTCTTCTCTCTCTCTCTCTCTCTCTCTCTCTCTCTCTCTCTCTCTCTCCTCTCCCTCTCTCTACTGTACTGTATACTGTCTGTGTATGTGTGTGCAAGATAACATACAATACAATATCATTTCTCTCATATAATTAAATCACTTTAGTGGTAAACAGAGAAATGCAGGGCAGACAACCGAGAGAGAGGCAGAGAAAAGCGTAGTGAGAGGAAGAGAGCTAAAGAGGATGAGAGAGATGAAATGCTGGTCCCACAGAGGGAGCAGAGCTGAAGGCTGCTCCTGGCTGTCAGGGCTGTGGATAAAGATTAATGGTATGCCATAGATCTCCAGCCAGCTCTCCAGCCAGCTCTCCAGCCAGCCAGAAAAACACTGTCTGCATTTGTCTGCTCCTTTTTTCCCTATCTATCGTGTCATAATCAACAAATGCCCCCTGTCACAGACACACAGAAACACACACAGATACACACACACACGAGGAGAGGAGAGAAAGCACTCACGGTATTTACAAACAATCCCTCATTGGAATGACCCACATGCTGAACGTGCTCCCAACGGGCCCCTCACGGTCCCATTGCTATGGCAGCCGTATGCATGGACAGATGGGATGCAGGGCCAGGAAGTGACCTTATCCTCTACTCTCTCCTCCCCTCTTTCCTTCCTCCTCTATACCCTTCTTTCTATTTCTATTCTATTCTCATTGCACCTCTTCTCTCCTCCTTTAACATCCTCTCCTCTCCTCCCCTCTTTCTCCTTTCCCCCTCTCGCCATCTCTCCCCTTTCTGATACCTCTCCTCCCCCACCTGTTCTCTTGCCATCTCTTTCCCTGGTCTCCTCTCCAATCCTATTCTCTCCTCTCTCCCTCTCCCCCTCTCCTCTCCCCCATCTCTCTAGGATGCATAGCTGTCCAATAGGGGATCTGAGTGTCTGCAGGAGCTAAAGCTCCACTCAATAGAGGATCCTCACTATTCATGGAATAGGAGAATTGGTAAAGCGTTGCATTGTTCCCTGTATTCATGCAGCATAATGGGACATTTCCTTCAGACTGGGGACTGGCGAGGACAGAAGGATACCAGCTTAGAGATCTGTGAGCCCCAGGTTTCACAAGTCTGCTGAGTATAGCCAATATCACTGAGAGAGACAGAAAGCACTGAGGGCCAATATAGACTATTCCCAGAAAGACTCAGTCTATATGCATACAAAGAGAATGAATGCCCACATAGTCAAACCGTAGAAAGAGTATACCGATATAGACACACTTAGAAACACACACACAGACCCAAACCTATATTCACAAATAAGATTCAGCTGCACAGCCCAAATCTCTACATACAACACGCAATTATCCACACTTGCAAACCTATAATGAAAATCAACAGTAACTATGCAGCACTTGTTTAGGCTTACTTTATGGAGGATGGTATCTATTTTAAAACATGAGAACCTGAGCCAGTGGAATTAAATAGGAAGTGAGATCATCATCCATTCCTCAGTATGATGAATTCAGCTGGCTAGATGAGGGGGTTGTTGCCATGGTGTCAAAGTGCCTCAGTAAGAGTGCGTTTCACATTAACTATGACTGAATGAGCTGTGTGTGTGTGGATATGTTTTTTATTCCGAAGGGTTATGGTTGTTGTTGTTGTGGTTTGCTGTGCATCTTGTGTATCTTTCTGGATGATTGTTGCAGTGGTGATTGGTGAATGTCTGTGTTTTTGTGTTGCTGTGATGTTTATAGCGATGAATATGTTTCTCTGAGTGGATATAGCAAGTGTTTGCTCTTTGTTTTGGTTGGAATGCTCCTTGTGAACATGACTATTCACACACAGTGAACAAGCAGAAGTACAAGAGGTGCTCTACTGGAGACCTGCTATAAAACAATCCTACTAGAATGAAGGAAGTATCAAACAGGCACTCTCACACAGGTATGGCCAAGTATGTACTCCACATCTGAATAACTCATGAATAACTAAATATCGCACACATACAGAGACCATCAAAGCATTTAGCAACAGCCGTACACAGGTTCACATTTAGTTACAAATCAATAGACCGCACACACACACAGCAACAGTAAACACACACACACACATCACATCCCGCAGTCCTGATGAGAGCGCTCCCATGCTGCAGTGCTGCTCTGGAGCATCCAAACAGACCTTGTCTGCACAAAACCCTATACCTGCCACAGCAACCGCATCCCGCTGCAAAGGCAACCAATGGCCACTGCTACAGAAACCTTTATCCAAGTTAATAACAGAGCAAATGGCCATAGAGCCATACACTCTCTTTATAGCCAGATTAAAACACAAACACACACGCACAAACATGCACATACACAGACATACACTATCGCATGCTCACACAGATACACACACACACACTGCATGGCTGCATGGGTTGCTGATGTTGGAGGGGAGTGATGGGGTGATGTGATGGGGGTGAATGGATGCAGCAGGTCTATGCTGAGTGGTACAGTGGTACAGTACTCACAGCTCAGAGTAGAGGATGTGCAAGTTGCCCACATTGTCAGTGTAGTTGGCTGGGCTGAGCCAGGGTAGAACCAGCAGCAGCAGAGCCTTCATAGTCAATACACAGTCAGCTCTCTCTCGCTCTCTTTCTCGCTTTCCTCTTCCCTCTCTCCTTCTGCACTGGAGCTCTCTCCTCCTCTTTCCCTTCCTCCACCTCCTCCTCCTCTCTGAGCCTAACCGTGCTGACCCTCTCCCTTCTTCCCTTCTTTCTCCGGAGTAGCTCTCAGGTCTAAATTACTCCCTTGCTTTTTTCTTTTCCTCCTCCTCCCGTTCTTTTCTCTCTCTCTCTCTCTCTCTCTCTCTCTCTCTCTCTCCCTCAGAGAGGCTGCCTGGTCATCTCAGCTGCAGAGGCGAGCGGACAGCTGCCAGAGGTTGAAGACGGAGTGGAGGATGAAGAAGAAGCAGGTGCAGAGAAGAGGTCCCGTGGAGGTAGAGGATGAAGAGGAGAAGGAGGAAGAGGAGGGAGGAGAACCAGGGGAAAGTGGCACATTTGGAATACGATTTGAGATGTGCAGGCTCTAATCTGCTCTGGGCACTAGCGAGGTGTAAGAGGATTTGCGCTCGTACGAGTGTGTGTGTATGTGTGTCAGAGGGAACAGCGCAGCCTGTGACTTATACTGCAGCAGGAACCACTGAGAGGGAGAGATGGAGCAGACCAAACAAATGGAGGGGAGGGGTGGGGGGGGGGGTTACCTGGGGCTTCTCTGATTGGTCGCAATCCCCCTCCCTCCCTCTCTCACACACACACACACACACACACACACACACACACACACACACACACACACACACACACACACATACAGACACACACACACACACACACACACACACACACATACACACATACACACACAGCTACTGCATTAACCTCCTCCTGCCCGCACATACACTGGTCCATGAAAAAAACGAGACGATGAGCAGGGGAGAGAACACACTGCACACAATATTCATTACAAAGATAGAAGCCTGTTTTTGTGAATGGAGTGAAACAGACTGATAGACAGAACAGGAAAGGGGAGTTAACTGTTATAATAATTATTGACTGAACTAAACCAGTGGTCAGATGCCCAGCGATTCATTCAGGGAAAGTGTTGTGGGGGTGTGTGAATTGGAACAGGGGCAGTGAGAGTGGCTAGACCATGTTTGATAAGCCTGCAAGGTGTCCGCATGCTTACCAGCCAAAACAGTCCGGAAGAGTTTGTGCATATATTATTACATTTACATTTCAGTCATTTAGCAGACGCTCTTATCCAGAGCGACTTACAGTTAGTGAATACATATTTTTTTTATACTGGCCCCCCGTGGGAATCGAACCCACAACCCTGGCGTTGCAAACGCCATGCTCTATCAACTGAGCTACATCCCTGCCGGCCATTCCCTCCCCTACCCTGGACGACGCTGGGCCAATTGTGCGCCGCCCATGAGTCTCCCGGTCGCGGCCGGCTGCGACAGAGCCTGGATACGAACCAGGATCTCTAGTGGCACAGTTAGCACTGCGATGCAGTGCCTTAGACCACTGCGCCACTCAGGAGACATTATGACAACATATTGTGACGTTTTTGTTTGTTTTGGACTTCGGTTAGTTTTTTTTGGGCTGTTTGGGCAAAGAAAATAAAAATCTGGAGGAAAGCCGAAGTTTGGAGCTGAAGTCTACGCCCCTTCGCCGGTGATTGGTCAACAGTAGGGATTCTTCAACAAAGTCTTTGTTGTCATTCAACAAGACACATGCACATTTTCTCATTGAGATATACTGCTCCAAACATCTTAGTTAGATGTAAAATGGCACGACTAAGATCTCCTCTGTGAAAACATCAAAATTATTGACAGATTTCTTGAGTTATCTTTGATTAATTCTGACTATTTTGAGGAAGTGTATACTGTCTACGACGTCTCTAAATGGACAAACCGTACTATTGAAGCTTTTTTCTCATTTTTCAAGCGTCTTTTAAGGGAGTATGTGAGCACACTCGTTCGGTTCGGTTCGGCTAGCCGACTTCGGCTAGGCGTCAGCCAAACTGAAGCAGGCTGATGCCTTTAGACAATAACAAAACAAAAACAACTTCCCCAAATAATAATCTACACTTGATTGGCTGAGCAGGGTTTAGGGGCTGAATTACAGTACAGTGACTGACATTGGGGCTGGTTATGGGTAAGGAGGTCAGCAGGTTGCCTTTTAAACTACATGGCGAAAAGTATGTGGACACCTGCTCGTCGAACATCTCATTATAAAATCATGGGCTAATATTAATAAGGAGTTGGTCCCCCCTTTGCTGCTATAACAGCCTCCACTCTTCTGGGGAGGCTTTCCACTAGATGTCGGAACATTGCTGCGGGGACTTGCTTCAATTCAGCCACAAGAGCATTAGTGAGATCGGGAACTGATGTTGGGCGATTAGGTCTGGCTCGCAGTCGGCGTTCTAATTCATCCCAAAAGTGTTCGATGGGGTTGAGGTCAGGGCTCTGTGCAGGCCAGTCAAGTACTTCCACACCGATCTTGACAAACCATTTCTGTATGGACTTCGTTAAATGCATGGGGGCATTGTCATGCTGAAACAGGAAAGGGCCTTACGCAAACTGTTGCCACCAAGTTGAAAGCACAGAATCGTCTAGAATGTCATTGTATGCTGTAGCGTTAAGATTTCCCTTCACTGGAACTAAGGGGCCTAGCCTGAACCATGACAAACAGCCCCAGACCATTATTCCTCCTCCACCAAACTTTAAAGTTGGCACTATGCATTCGGGCAGGTATCGTTCTCCTGGCATCTGCCCATTGAACCCAAATTCATCCGTCGGACTGCCAGATGGTGTGATTCATCACTCCAGTGATTCCACTGCTCCAGTGTCCAATGGCGGCGAGCTTTACACCACTCCAGCCGACACTTGGCATTGTGCATGGTGATTTTAGGCTTGTGTGTGGCTGATTGGTCATGGAAACCGATTTCATGAAGCTCGCGACTAACATTGCTTCCAGAGGCAGTTTGGAACTCGGTAGTGAGTGATGCAACTGAGGACAGAAGATGTTTACACGCTACATGCTTCAGCACTCGACTGTCCCGTTCTGTGAGCTTGTGTGGCTTACCACTTCGCGGCTGAGCCGTTGTTGCTTCTAGACATTTCCACTTCACAATAACAGCACTTACAGTTGACCGGGGCAGCTCTAGCAGGGCAGAAATTTGACGAACTGACTTGTTGGAAAGGTTGCATCCTATGACGGTGCCATGTTGAAAGTCACTGAGCTCTTCAGTAAGGCCATTCTACTGCCAATGTTTGTCTATGGAGATTGCATGGCTGTGTGCTCGATTTTCTACACCTGTCAGCAACGAGTGTGGCTGAAATAGCCGAATCCACTAATTTGAAGGGATGTCCACATACTTTTGTGTATATAGTGTACCTAATAACACCTTAGTGTGTTTCTCAAATACTTTTGGCCATGTAGCGTATTGTAAAAATGACCTCAATTTAAGGTTAGGTTTAGGCATTACGGTTAGCAGTGTGGTTAAGGTTAGGGTTATGGTAAGGGTTAGGTTTAAAATCAGACTTTGTGGCTGTGCTAGCTAGACCACTCTGCAGAGCTGCCTCAAGAACAAGATTCATGACGGAAAACGTTAACCTGCAGGAGGTAATGGGTGGTGGGCACTGTATTGATTAATAAAGGTGGGCACCTTAAGGTTGCATAAGGGCTGGTCACAGAGCTAGCAGACAAAGGACATGCAAATGAGCAGACTTTTGTTTTGAGTGTTTACAGGGCTAGATAGATAGATCTCTCTCTCTTTTCATCTTGTCCTCTCTTTTCATCTCTGTCATCTCTCCTTTTTCTCTGCCCCTCTCTCTCCTCTCATCTCCCCACCTCTCTGTCATCCCTCTCTTCTTCAGCTGTAAATAGAGAGCCAGAGGGAGTGACCGACCGACGGTGGTTAGAGAACTTTGATCTCCACTCATGTTATCGCGTAACACTTCAAGCCAGCAGCTTCCCTCATTTATCTCCTTTCCGTCTCTCCATCTCTCTCTTCTCTCAATTCCTCTCCCAATATATTTCATTACCACTTTGTCCCACATTGATTCTCTCCTTTAAAGCTATCCTCTTTTCATCTTGTCCCCATCTCTCTACAGCAGGCCTATCTAACAGCTCCTCTCCTCTCCTCTCCTCTCCTCTCCTCTCCTCTCCTCTCCTCCTCTCCTCTCCTCTCCTCTCCTCTCCTCTCCTCTCCTCTCCCTCCTCTCCTCTCCTCTCCTCTCCTCTCCTCTCCTCTCCTCTCCTCTCCTCTCCTCTCCTCTCCTCTCCTCTCCTCTCCTCTCCTCTCTGCGGTAGTGGTTAGTAGTGGTTAGGGACCCTGAAGGGTGAGTAAGTCTCAGTGTAGTGCTGTCTTGTCTGGGACCGTGTAAGGCACTTAACTGGTTTAAATACCCCATCCCGATTAATATTTAATGGGTAAATATGAGAGAGATGTGTGGGTGCTGTGTGTTTAGGGGTAGAGTTGTGTGAGCTGGTGTGTGTGTAAGCAGTGTGTAAGCAGTGTGTACCACACAAGGCCACAGGCTGGCAGGAAAATGAATGTAATTGGATTGTCACAGGATGCAGTTTGTGAAAAAGCAAAAACCAGTCTGGCCCAAAGGAGTCATTACACACACTCAGAAACACACACACACAACTACCTAAACACACACTCAGAAACACACACACACAACTACCTAAACACACACTCAGAAACACACACACACAACTACCTAAACACACACTCAGAAACACACACACACACAACTACCTAAACACACACTCAGAAACACACACACACACAGCTACCTAAACACACACAACTACCCAAACACACACTCAGAAACACACACACACAACTACCTAAACACACACTCAGATACACACTTCACACATTAATATTGTTTGCCTATTTCCATTCCTCTTCAGTTCCCGCTCTCAAACATATTCTTCCAGAAGGAGAGTAGTTGAGGCTAGAGGAATCAACAGAGCAAAGGTTAGTAAGGTGGCTCCTATGCATCAAAACGTGAAAAAGGGATGTTCTGGTGTGGTTGAGGCA